TAAATTCAATATTAAATTTAGGAATTAATGTTGTTTTCTTTTTATGAATTATACGATCAGAATTCTTTTTTATTATAGTTTTATGAATAATAGTGTACATTCTAATTATGTTGAAAAATAATTTGATAATCTATTTATTGTTTTGATTTCAAAACATTTTTTTTAATGAACCTATTTTTTCTCCAAATATTGTACCTATTTTTTTTCTTTATTACTTGTTTTATGAAAATAATTTGATCATCTTTTTATTGTTTGTTTTATGAAAACAATTTTTTTTTTAAATGAGCCTATTTTTTCTCTCAAATTTTTTTTCTCAAAATAATGTAGCTCTTAACATTGTAGCTGGCGGACAATAATTTTAAGTTTTATTTTTTATACAATTGATAGTTTAAATTACTTTAAATTAATCTAAAAGGGATTCGAACTTAGGTGTAAGAGGGCAAACTCACTGCTGTAGCTAGCTAACATAACCCACGTCTGCAAATACTCTCACTGTCCTGGCTGACAATATTATATACACGAGATTGAAAGTTGAGTACAGGCTTGAATGATGGCAGGTACACTCTCAAATTAATACTTAAGGGGTTTTGAACTCCACAACTAAATTCCAGTAGCATTAAAAAAAATGTAGCTGCTTCGAAGAATCTTCAGTGGAAATGTATACATATCACTATCATATGTGACATTAAAAAGTATTGATTTTTCTTTTGATATGGATTTGAAAGCCAAGCTCCAAAACTGCAGGCCTATCTTAGAAAAGGCATACAGTATATGCCACATGCACACGCAGAGAATGAGATAGATATGCTCGCGCGTCTCTGTCTCTTTTATGCTTAATTATTTGTTTCAGCTTAATTTGGGATTGCTTCCTGGGGTGGTATTGATTATGATGGAAGAGGTGTTACTTGGGTAGTGAAAATGCACTCCACTTAATTTAAAGAGGATTTTATTAACAGGAAAAAATAAATTAAACATGACTTAAATAAATGGGTTTGAAACTAATGGCACACCAAACTGAAGACATTGACTTGCTGAAGAAAACTTGTTGCAACTTGAAAGAGACAAGATATTGTGCCGGCAACCAAAAAATTGAGTAAAAAGAGAGTTCAAATGAATGAATGAGAGAGGGAGAGTTTGAAACTCCCGTACGTTGTCATTACCTGTAAATTAATTGTGTATTAGTCTCTTAGCACGCGCTTTTGACTTGAGTTTTCTTCATTTTTCTTTTGAAAAAAATAATATATCGGAAAGGTCTTAAATTTTTAAACATGATTATCTTACTTTTTATCAAGTAAAGACTATTTGTAGGAATCTGAATGTAATTAATTGGAATGTTCTGGAGTGGAAAACCATCCCGAGTAAAACATGAGGCTGTGGAATGCAGCGTATAAATAATTTTTGGCTGACTTCTTCTTCAAAAAAGAAGAATGAGGGGAAAATTAAAACAGGTGAAGAAACATAAGGAAATAAATTAAGTAATTCCATCATTATAAAGAAAAATTCAATAACTCTTACTCTTAATTTGAGGTTCTAAAAATAAATAAAAAACTCATAATTTATTGGTGCTTAAATGATTGATATTCAATCAATTAAGCATCAACAAAGACTAATAATATTTATTCCTACACTCGAAGTCCTTCGTCGCGCAAAAGTTTGTCGCGCAAAGTGACTTTGTGCGACGATTTGTGTTTCGTTGCGCAAAATTTAGTCGCGTAAGACTTTGAGCGACGAAGTTTAATTTTCGTCGCGCAAAGTCACTTTGAGCGACGAATTGTGTTTCGTCGCGCAAAATTTGGTCGCGCAAGGGGTTTTTTTTACTAGTGAAAACTGCAGGCCTATCTTAGAAAAGGCATACAGTATATGCCACATGCACACGCAGAGAATGAGATAGATATGCTCGCGCGTCTCTGTCTCTTTTATGCTTAATTATTTGTTTCAGCTTAATTTGGGATTGCTTCCTGGGGTGGTATTGATTATGATGGAAGAGGTGTTACTTGGGTAGTGAAAATGCACTCCACTTAATTTAAAGAGGATTTTATTAACAGGAAAAAATAAATTAAGAGTATTAGGGTTGTGTGATAGAGTGTATTAGGGTTTACTATGGGTATTTTTGGTACTTAAATAGGGTGTACATAGTTAAGTTTATATTTTGATGAAAATATTAGGGTGTACTTAGATGATAGGTGTACTCAGTTAATTTTAGGGTTCGTTTAGCACCACTCTTAAAATAATATAAATAACACAAACTGATATTGCATCTATCATGGTTTTATTAAATGCGTGTAACCAAATTATATGCATTTTGAGAACAATTAAAAACGCACAGCACAGTTTGCTCCTTAAAAAATGGATTTGCTCTCTCAAAAAAAAAAAGAAAAAAAAAGAAAAAAGGTTTATTCCTCTAAACATGCGTTCGCTCTTCTCTTCTTCCTCGCGCAGCAGCGCAGCTTCTTCCAAAAAAAAAACCTATGATTGTATCCATAAGCATAAGTATCATCAAACTATTCAAATCAAACAAGTCAACAGAACCCAAATTTGTGTCTCTACTTCCACTGCAACAGTTGCCCATAACGGAAGAAGTACATAATTGCAGTGGAATTAGAGACACAAATTTAGGTTCTGTTGACTTGTTTGATTTGAATAGGATTGTGTTGGAGTTCGATGATACTTCAAAACAGCTACCAATGAGCTATATTAATACAATTTTCTGTTCACAATCCTCTCATTCAGATCGATCTCCATATCTGCAAATTAAACTTGGTGATTGGTTTTTTCCCAGATCTGCCGTTTATGCCCTACGTTAATGTTCCTAAGCCTCACCTTCAGAAAACACCACCATCCAGAAATTGGTGACATGAAAATCTCAGGTACCTGTTTATCATTCCTTGCAATTTTGTAATGATGCCCTGGTGGAGCCACATGCAGACGATCATTTCTGGTGAGTTCTTGCATACCTTGCCATTTGTATATTTTAATTTATTAACCGACCTTATACTCATCGAATTAAGTACATAAAAACCTCACCTGAAACTTTGAGCTCTGCTTGTGTTTGTTCTTTCTAATATAAGGAGGATGATCCATATCCTTCACCTAAAACTCCATTTTTCTGGTTGGCTACCGGAAGTGTAGGTTCTCTCACCTTTGGAATGGAGAGTGAGCGCTTGCGTCCTTTAACCTTCACTGAGGAGCTAGCTAATCTCGCATAATCCTCTATTTTTATAAATAAATAAAAAATTATTACCTCTGAAAATTTTGAACTCAAGAGAGTGGTGATTTGTTGAGTGTTTAAGCATAGTTTATACCGAGAATCAATTGTAATTTCTCATTAAGAAAAATTTAATGGACCTTAATTAAAGTTGAACTAAATGAGCAAGGGTTTCGTCTCAAGTGTTACCATATAACTGAAGTATTGTTGTAGGCCCATCTCACTTTACTAGCAAAGTTTTTCTTCTTTCTCCCTCCCTTCTCTTTCTTCATAAAGAGTTTCGTCTTCTTTGTTGCTCTGTAATAGCTTAAAAAAGAATTTTATGCTCGGGACAGAACAGAAAAAAGAAAGAAAGAAAAAAAACCTTTTCATATTAACGCCAACAGCTTGATGCGTCTCCGTTCTGTTGCTTCACGTTTTCCTTGTTGATTTTATGCTTTATTTTTCCCATTCTAATATTTTCGTTTGAATCCTAAAATTCTAGACTTTGCCGCATGGATTAAGTAAACACCTGCGAATCAATGATATATGATATGATGTTATTAAGGGGAAAAGGGTTTAATCAACAAGATGCAAGATAAATATATATTCTTAATGAAGTGGTTTAGAAGACTATAAATCAATATACATGTAATGAATCACTCTCGACACATAAGCCTTACAATGATTGTTACACACAGGGACGTACCCACTAGCACGCTAACCTGGGCTAAAGCCCAGGTAACTTGTTTTTTATTTAAGCTAAATTAATACTCTAGCCTAGATCATCTAAATAAATATTATTAACTATTCCCATTAGGATAAGGCTACCCACCCAAATAAAATATTACTAATCCCACTAGGATTGGCTGACCAAGCCAACAAATAAATAAAAAGAATTAAACCCCACACCCTACGTGAAAAAACATTAGACTCTCACAGACATTCCCTCTCTCCTCAGACTTAATTAAAGCAAACCAAGGTAATTTTCCTTTCTTCTTCTTCTTCTTTTCTTTTGAAATTTTGGGGATTATTTAGGGTTTATGAAGTATCAATTAGGGATTTACAATTAAGGTTTATCAATTAGTTTTTTGATCTTGGTGTTCTTGCTTGCTTGTATGAATTGTCAATTGGGGATTTTAATTCGATATTTAACTATTTAACTATGTAATGTTTTTATTGAAATTTTTTTTGGTCTATATGTTTACATATTCTATATATTATTCAATAGGTTATACTTTATAATGTCGGGTCAACATCGTAATGTTAAGAGATCAAGGACTATTCAAGATTTTTTTAAGAGAAACAATGATGAATCATCAACTAGCATGCCTTCGGTGTTAGAAATGTGCCCTAAGAGCCAATACATTTGATGTAATCTCCTTAGAATACATTTCGTATATGATATATAAAGGGAAAACTTAATTTGTTATCTTTTACATCGTGTAAAGAAACAAATGTCCAGGGTATGCTAAATAAGAGATAAAGTAATCTAAAGAAGATTAGATTCATGAGACCTTTAATATCTAATTGTAGTATCCCAAAATGTTCCTAATCATAGGTTATCAAATGGGCATTGATAAACCGTCAAGATTAGCGCATATTATGTATGCTCAATTGGATCAGTCATAATGGACCTACCTCACAATTTCGTGGCGAAGCAGAAGGTATTAAAATATCTATGTTATCTTTTGACTTTGTTTTTGCCTTGAAATTGTTGGACAAAACTATGAGATTCACTGATTTTCTTTGTCAAGAACTTCAAAGAAAATCTCAAGACATTTTAAAGGCTTTGAATTTGGTTGCAAGTACAAAAATGGAGCTTGATGAGTTGAGAAATAATGGTTGGAATGATTTTATACAGAGTGTGCAATCATTTTGTGAAGAACATGATATTAATATGCCTGATATGGGTGCCCGTCATACAATAGGCACTTGCCGTTCTTGTCAACAAAGAGATTGTATCATAGTTGAGCATTATTATCATATTGATATATTCAATGAGGTAATAGATTATCAGTTGGGGGAGTTAAATACTAGATTTCCAAATGGGACTGTGGAACTCCTTTCTCTTAGCTCAGCATTAGATCCTCGTGATGCTTTCAAGCGATTTAACATATAAAGAGATTGTATCATAGTTGAGCATTATTATCATATTGATATATTCAATGAGGTAATAGATTATCAGTTGGGGGAGTTAAATATTAGATTTCCAAATGGGACTGTGGAACTCCTTTCTCTTAGCTCAGCATTAGATCCTCGTGATGCTTTCAAGCGATTTAACATTGATGATATATGCACTCTTGCTGAGAAATTTTACCCTTTAGATTTCACTACAACTGAGTTGCATGTTTTAAATCAGCAATTGAGATTTTATAAGATTGATATGGATTGCATTCAAGCCTTCAAGAATATTGATTCCATCCCTATATTACTTGAGCACTTAATTGAGACAAAATTAGCAGAAACATACTGCTTGATTGACAGATTGATTCGTTTGGTGCTAACTCTTCCTGTGTCTACAACAACAACAGAACGAGCATTTTCATGTATGAGACTTATTAAAAATCGACTTCGGAATAAGATAGGTGATGAGTTTCTTGCTGATTGTATGCTACTTCAGAGTGAAAGAGAATTAGCTTATAATATAGATAATGAATCAATAATTGGTGATTTTAATGCTGTGAAGACTCGAAGGGTGCAACTTATATAAGTGTTATTTAAGGGGTAAGGCTCATTATGTCCCCCCCATATATTTTTTTGTTATCAATGAAATTTACTTGTACCGTTGAGTTTTCAATATATTTGTATGTAAGGTAAATTTAGCCCACGCCATTTTGAAATCCTGGGTCCGTCCCTGGTTACACACATGTGCAAGCAATTCTACGTAATATTCAACATTACCACACTTTTATTTTTCTTGTTATCTTTGCTTTTGAGTGTCTATATATGTGTGTGTCTCTTTGATCCTGTCTTTGACGTGCAATCTTCAATAGATGTCCAAAATCAAGCATCTGATGAGAACAAGTATATATGCTTTGAATTAGATAAAAACCGGCAGGCTCTTGCAATATATTCAAGTTTGGTCTGTTAATGACTCTATAAACTTTGGGTTTAAATTTGATTTATCTAGGTTTGGCTTACAAATTAAGCTTATTCTCAAAAATAGGACTGGGCTAGAGCCCACTCCATCCTTAACGTGGATCTGCAATACCTATATTTACAACATATATACCTCCATCATGGGAACACTAGTATATATTTGAATGAGGTGAAGCAAAAAGATGAAGAGGAAAAGAAAAAAATAAAAAAATGGACAAATAAACAAAATGAAAAGCTACCAAACCAAAGTGACAAATTATTTATATAGTTGACATTAGACCTAACATTAAACGTAATAATTATTAAAAACGTCAAATCTAATAATTATTCACGTAAAATAAACATTCAATCAGATAATAATGAAAAATACAGATATATCAATGTTTATGGTGCTAATTCTATTTTTTTAAAGATAAAAATTAATCATTATATAACTATAAAATTCTATAAAAATTTATGTTTGTAAACAAATTTTTTATTGCATTGCGGATTACATGGAAACATAAAATTCCTATGTTTCTAGAATATTGTGTGAAGTATGGTTTGGATTGATAGTCTAGCAATTAAGTATTTGTTTCGGAGAGCATTTTTGCTCACTACTTTAACCCAAGGTGTATCATCACCACCCTTCTCAACATTTGACACGTTTCCATGAGTATAACTATGGTTCCATAAATACAAAGTAAAAATTAACTATGGTTAGGCCTATAGACACATATCAAATGTTGAGAAGAGTAGTGATGGTACACCTTAAGTTAAAGTGGTGAGCAAAAATATTTCATTTGTTTCGCAACTATGTTAGAGAAAATTGCCCTATCCTATATATTGATATAAGATTAATACAACTTAATTATCCTAAACCCCTAAACCCTAAGATTAAGAACATATGAATTAGCAGAAAAATTAGACATAGAGAGAGGGGGAGAGATTTAAATAAACATTACCTAGTTGTTATTGGTCGATTTCAAAAACTTCCCCTTAATTAGGTCTTCCAAAACAAAGGATATCCTGTGTGGACCACAATATTCAAGACCAATTAATCAATCATCGAGAACATTAATAAGCTTGCAAATCCATCAATTAAAAGAAACATATATAATCCAATTACATTCATGCTAAATATATATGCTATAAGTTACAAAGAGGGAAGCATAAAGTACTTTCGTCGTGGGTGGTCGTCGTGGCTCCCCTGAGCGCCAGCTCCGCCCCTGTCGACGACAAGTCTCTTGTTCTCCATGCGAAAGGTAAATTTGCCGCAGGAGATGAAGTCGTGTGCTGAGAATATCTTCACACAACTCATCTTACCATCATTTGATCCTTTCACGAAGAGCTTGATGTCTCTTCGACGACCAGAGTCCACCGAATGACTATGGAACCCCGTTGACCTGATCCGCCTGCGCTTCTGAGGCAGCAGTTGAATCGGGTCCGCGTATTCGCCGTCTGAATCTCCTGCTGGACACTCTTTTAACTCTAAAATCTCATCAGTGAGGTTCACTAGTTCAATCTGACGAGAGAACATGGAACCCATATATTAATTTGCTCTATCAAATGTGTGTGTGCCCAACGTGGTGATCAATATATAGGCAGCTTCCAAACTATGAGATATACTCGCATTCTCAGTTCTATGTCACCCACCAAGGTTAACTGACAAACTGTTTCTAGAAGGCCAACCGTTTGCTCTAATGTCTTCATTTGTAAGGTCTGCGTGATAAAATAAATAGAAAATTTGGCATAAGTCCAATTATGAGGAGAGATTTTGGGTGCAATCCACATGAGGAGAGATTTTGGGTGCAATCCACGCAGAAATTGTTGTTAATCCAAGTCCTTTGACTTTTGCGCCACATAAGATTACATGCCTATTTCAATTTATTGATATTTACTTTTTTTTTTTTTGGGTACCTAAAACATAAATAAGGTAAATTATGAATTCCTAAAACTGGTAAGTTATTGATTTGTAGGATATTAATTATCATATTTGATTTGAATTTAATTTCAAATCTATTTATTGAATTCTGAAATTTTCCCAAGGTATACCTGTAACACCCCGACCCTAATTTTAATATCCACTTAATGATTTAATTAATTAGATTAAGAAATTGCAATTTTACCTTTGGGGATAGGGGTATTTTGGTCACTTTTAACCCGGAAGAATTTTGGGAAAATGAGTGGTACCGTTGCGTAGAGCTCGTCGATACGAGTTCGTAGACATGCGGCATGCCCAATTCCGATTTGTAACGAAGGAGAAAAATTCTGAAAACAAAAAGGACATAAATGGAATATTATTTTTTTTAAATTGTTACTGTAGCTGCTACAGTAACCGACGTTTTTATATTTTTTTCATCTTCTATCTGATCGATTGGTATAACATGTGAGTCTTTACTTTTTATCGATTAAATTGTATTTTATCTATATATTAGGAATATTATCAAGGAAAAAAAATTCAAAATTTGGAATTCAATTTCAAGGAAATAATGCATTAAATTTATATTTTTAATGTGTTTTCCTTATTTACCTTAAAGGGTAAAATCGGCACAACAAAAAAGTAATAAATGTCAAAGGACCTACATCTAAAACCAAAAACACGAGGACTAGACCCAATAACAGCTAATCGTTTTGGACCTAGATTTAAGAACCCCTAAAATAAACCTTAGTTGAGAGAGAGAGAGAGAGAGAGAGAGGCATAGAGCAACAGAGTACAAATGAGTAAAATAAGAGTGAAATATCGTCACCCAACATAAGGTCATCTTTCAATCAAAATATGATCATTGTCTTTCTATATTATATTTTTATGGGTTTATGTTAGAAATCCGTTATATATACCCTGGCAATTTCTTTCTGGAAATATAAACATACATTGAGGACGAATGAGGATAATATAAACATTTTAAAGAGGAAGCCGGCATGGCATTTTCTTTAGACGTGTAGTCGCCATTCTTAAGTACGTCATATGGCACAAGTGAGACTTGTGAAACTTATGTTTCTTTTTTCAAATAAAAAAATAGTAAATTTGACTTTCCTCCTTCAAAACAGGAGTATTTGAACTAATTTTATTATTCATTTGCATAAAATTAGGGGATGTAAAACAATCAGCCACTAAATAAAGATATAGTGGCATAATTGTAAATAAATCAACTTATATGGACACATTGTCATCCAATTTTAAAATTGGGTTTTACTTAAATGTTGTCTTATTGTTGGGTTATCGTGTATGATTTTTAAGTTGTAAGGGCTTATTTTAGTATGACCCATAAAAAAAATACAAGCGAGGAGGGAGGAATAGAATATCTGACCTTGGACGCGACAGTAAAATGTTTTTAAGTACTTGAACTACAAGTTCCTTGTGATGTTTCATTCGTTATTAGAACTGCAAGTAGAGATCAATTCTAGGTTCATGAACTAAATGAAACTTCTTGGTTTATAATATAACAATACTAATAATAATATTTAAGAGTTAATTTATTATGGCTTGAAACATATGAAACGAGTTATTCCAAATTTTTTGGACTAAACACTTCTAGAATCGGATGAAGGATCTAGCTTGCATGGACAATGTCCACGCTTTTGATCAACTGCACGACTACTATAAATACTTCTAAAATATATTTATTTTAAAATCCATTTTGATAGAAAGTAAAGAGCAATACCCAATTGCCATGTAATGAGCTCGAAATAATTGAACGGCCCGGTTCAAATATCAGAGCTGGGCCTATGGTAATTTCAGAAAAGCCCTATATCCACTTCAAGTTGGCTTTCTATTTTTTTTTTCTTCTTCATTTTCTCTTCCTTTTCATTCTTTCCTTTTTAATTTTTATTTTATAAGCAGTAATTTAAATTACTCTAAATTAATCTAAATTAATTGAATAGTAATGACTCTATTAAGAGTGCTGCTAAACGAACCCTAAAATTAACTGAGTACACCAGACTACCAAACTATTTATTGAATTACGAATTTACCATAATATAAAATGACCATAAAGGATATATTGAATTGTGAAACAAATATAAATTTAATAAGAATATCCTACTCACAATATTCAACCCTAATCAAACGTAAAGAAGTTTTGGTGGGTTAAGCAGCAAGTTCGGCAACGAATATTTAATAACTTTGATAATATTTCCTTTTTGCTCCGCTATTTTGGGAGCTCAACATTCACCTCTTCTTTCTTCCATGTGCAGTTATTGTGTTTCACCTGTGGCTATATTTATTTTTGGAACTCTATGTATATTTCTGAATATATATAATTAAAAATCAGGTATATTCTTGAAATAATAATTCAGTCAGCAGAGGATGCAGGTCCATTACGTACAATTGTGCAGCAGTCGTACACACGAGGCTTTCCCCGTGAAGTGAAGGACGAACTTGACAACACATGCAGATTCTGGTCCCAGGTCTCACCACATATATCTTTGGTCCACATGCACACTCCAATCTTAGGTAAAGTCATCATCTCATCGATATTCCTTGCTGGGGTAGGGTGGCTTACTTAGTTGGCTTTTAGCTTGTTAGCATAGACGATGTACCTATTTCATCTTTTTGTTAAATATTAGGGTTAATTACAGTTTGGTACCCTGAAGTTGTACTCTTAAGGCATGTTAGTCCCTATATTTTCA